CTCGTAGAATCTGAAAGTTCATTCGATTAGCTAGGAGTGAGTTAGCGTTTAAGTGTAAACTGAAATTGACAGATAAACTAAACGATAGAAAGAATAAGTTAACTAAACAAAAAAAAAAAAAACTAAATAAGAATTTGCTCCCTCACACTCCTTTCAAAAACCAAAGTGATTACATGAATCACTTCTAAATTCCCAATTTTCGTATTCTTACTTTTAAACGGCCTCGTTACACTGACATTATGACTCCTTTACAGTTTCAGTACAGATAACTTACAAAGAGAAATAATTCATGTTCTTGAATCTTCTCTACTTTCCTGCTCTGGTTCACTTTACAGAAAGTGTTAGAGTTCAAAGACCACTCAGGTTAAGTAGAGGACGTAGATGACTGTTCGGTATGTTTCGTCGAAGGATGAGAAGTGGACACACCAGAATAAGTCCTTTATTTTGATGGAGGGGGTCGCAATCTCAGAGCCTTCTTCCGCCATTGAAATTTTCTGCAACGGCAGAGGACGATGAGCATTTCCTCTGGTGTCGACAGAATTTTCACTAGAGAAAATATTTATTTTAGACACATAAAATTTTCATATCATTAACATGATATAATGTAATTTATATAGAAATGGAGTAACACGAGTGGTAACTTCGAATAGTCCATTTAATACTAGAAAAAAATTTACTACAGAATATAATTGATGTATTAACGATAGTAGTGACTTACCTACTTTTGTCCAAAAGAGACTAATGAGAGTAAGCTTGTTGCTGTAGCTTCCGGTGTTTTTCAACGTTGGATATTGTCTTCTGTATAACATTTATAGATAGGTCTGTTCGTTCACCTACGGTTGCAGGTGATGTTAAGTATTGTTTTCAAAAAGTCCTTGTTTGATCCCTTGTAAGCTATCAAATAGCTTGCATACAATTTATGAATGAGCCCATGGCCAGAACTTCCCACTAACACGAAAGAACAATATGCCATCAATAACAGTTTTAATGTTTATATAAATAAATAGAAAAAGGAACGGAAGAGTAACAACGTTTGATCACTATCTCACGTGAGAAAAGTTATTGAAACTCGTGACAGTCTTTATTCAAAATATTAAATTAAAAATTTTGCAACAAATATGTGCAAGTCACAGGTAATGGAAACTGGTGTCAGTCTCATAACGTTTAGAAACTTTAAATGACGTAATTGATTAGAATGTGAAGTAGCGTTTAAATGTAAACAATGTTACAGGTTAACTAAACTATAGAGAGAATAATAAATGAACAGAAAACAAAAGCCATAACGAAATAAAAGTAGAATTTGCT